ATCTCAGGGACAAGAACTCCCTAAGAAGCTTTATCATTGACAAGGACAATGCCAATTTTATTGTGTTGTCTAGAAAAGATATAGGCAGCTAAAGAAGCAAGTTCTACTTGAGTAACTCATATGAGGAAAAGGAGGTAAAAAAATCTCAAAAATCCCATCCCCAGTTTCTGTAGGAAGAGGAGATAAGTGAATCTGGTTTCTTGCCATATAATCAGGAGGTTAGAGAGTAAGATGAAGTACTAAAAAAAAGGAAAAGAGAGAGACAAAGATCCTTTGAGAAGCCAGGGAGCAGCCTCAAATTTATCCTACCTGGCATGTTATATATGAAATGAAAGGACATCTTGTCCTTGTCCCTACAAGCAAAATAATGAGCTATGCCCAGACTATGAATTTAATAATTTCCACTTCTTTATTGTTTCCTAAGTACCTACTTTTAATAGTTTCTTCTTTTCCTTCATACATTTTATAACACATAACAATTACTGTGTGTTATTCACCTCTCTCTCAGTCCTGCAAACATACACAAGCATAAACAAATAGTCCTGCAAACATACACAAATAGGAAATACAGCCATACCTTACTGTTTGCTGAAGACATGTTCCTGAAAAGTGAGACACTTAGCAATCCAATGGATAACAAACCTGTTTTCCCCGTAAGATTTAATACAATCGATGCATACAGCAGTTTAAAAAAAAAACACATACAGAGACAGTATATATGATGTGGAAAACGGACAGGCAGAAGCAGATGATGTGGAAAACAGACAGGAACATGATCCGGAAGAGACACTGACTTTCAGAAATGGATAGCTGCTTTAGAACAATCTCAGCTACTTCAGCTATGAAACTGAACACCTGATCTTTATCACATATTTCCATCCTTCACCTTTGATTGGCTTGATTGGTCTTGATTCATCTGAGGAAGATGAAGATGACAAGGAAAACGTGACTGTTTGGGAAGAGGCAGCAAGAACGCTCTTCATTATAACCCAAACAAATTGCCTACATTGCTTCAGACACACTCACGATTCAGTTCTCACAAGCACGGGAAGGAGATGCTTCTTCTTCTAAGGTTTAAAGAACATCCAGCACCATCAGGATTAAGAGGCAGGATTCTACAGCTAAATTTGATCATTTAGTGATTAGGCTGCTGCTAATTTATTTAAAGCATGAAAACAATTAGTAATTAAATCACTGTGCTTTTTTAAGTACTTTCAAAAAAAGGGGAAGGGGGAAATGTGGTGAATTGAGTATGAAACTTTTGTAGGGTCAACGTTACGACAGCCTAGAACAAATATTTATCAAAGTTTAAGTCTGGGAAAATTAACTTCTTTCGGAGTTTAGCTAGCAAACCCAAAAGAGAATGCTTATCTAAATAACACTGAGGGCTTTCACAGGATTTAAATCTAATCACGCCACAGTCAAAACCCATTTTTCCTAAAAGCTGCAAACATTTTTTACAGGCAATCTTTCAAAGCAAGAATAACGTCTACGTTGCACTTCTAAGTAGCCTACAATGAAACACAATAGCTTAAACATGCCTGCCTGAGAAACACCTCTCAGTACAAGAACGAGCCTCGGAAAGGGATATTCAGGAAAGTAATATGAAACATTGATGAAATACTGAGCTTTGATATTTTGCCATCATAAGCAAAGATGAAGCTGGATTCTTTTCTGGCTTGAAAGATGAAGCCAGACTCTCTTCAGTGAAAGGATGAGAGGTAGTGGGCACAAATTAAAACGCAGGAAATTCCACTTAAACATAAGAAAAAGCTTTGTTTTACCATGAGGGCAGTTGAACACTGGTCCAAACAGGTTATGGACTCTCCATCCTTGGTGATATTTGAAACCCAGCTGGACAAGGCCCTAAGCAACCTGCTCTACTTGATCCTATGCTGAGCAGAGGTGGTTGACTAGACCATTTCCAGAGATCCCTTCCAACCTCAACAATTCTGAGATTCTGTGAAGTTTGAAATGTGAGGTTTGGGGGGACTTTAAGTTCAGAATAATATTGACACAGGTGATACAGGGATCTGCATGGCCTCTTCTCCACTATTGCGTCCTGCATAATGGAAGTTCCCAGTATCGCACTGACATCCTTATCACAGCTGTGGCTACTCATTTACATCCTTGTATCCTAGTGAACGTATCGGTAGAAAGTGAAAGCTACATCATATCACCTTAGCACATACGGAGAGTAAACAAACAGACTGTACTATCATTAACCATTTTGCAGAATCCGGAACACAAGGTGGTACGCTGGGCTAAGATTATTTATACCAGATACTTCATGTATCTATACTAAAATGGTATTAAAGATTGGAAAACATGCTGAAAGTTAACAAATGTTGCATGCAAAGCAGATATATGGGCATTCCATACCATTTCTTAAATATTATGCAGTAAACTGACTAACATGGTGTTTGTAGGCAGTTGTAGGTTAAATTAATAGCAAAAGAAACAAAAGAAAAAATAACGAGAGGAAAAAAACAGATTAAAGAACGCCCAGATGCCTTCTTGAATATAAGACACGGACAGAGCTGCCAGCCTCAGGCTCCGTTTTCAGACAAGTTTGAGACTGCTGCATTCCACTTCCTGAACATGGCAGCTTTCGATTTTGGTCACAAGGAAGAGAAAAGCAGCTGTTGGGAAAAGATCAGGTTTGCCTCTGTACTTTTAAGGCAACTCAATTAGAAGAGCCCAAAACAGAGCCAGCAACAAGGTAGCATGCTGTCAAACGTGGTCAGGTTGTAAAATCACCCAAATGGAATACCAACACTAAAAATACCAGGCGTATCACATCCAGCCCATCAAAAGCAGGTGGGAAAGTTTGAAATAAAAGAGATAATGCAGTCCTATAGATTAAGTAACCAACAGGTACTCACCAGGATGAGTCCTAACTGTACTATTTGGGATCCCGATTACAGGTTTCTACTGTCATCACCAGGGAGGGATGAATTGCTTATTAACTCGGGCACTAGGATACAGACTTCACATTGTTTTTTGTGGATAATATCCTAAGGTATTTGAAAAGAAAATGATAGACTGTTATTTTTCCTTCTGAAGTGTCTACCAGTCACACTGTAGTATTTATGGTTCCAGTTTCACAATCTCTTCAAGGCAGTATATGTAGGAAATGCTGCCAAAACAGGTCTTCCCACCTGCTCTCATCTTTTTGCCAGCATTACTGAGCTGGTAAAGTGAGGATAGCTTAGGATGACTGCTAAAGCCTGCTAGGACTCTACTTAGAAAAGATATATGAGCAGACTTTTTTAGGGTATTTATGTTTTGTTCCTGACACTAAGACTAAACAATTATTTAATTTTATATGTTCCATTTATCAGAGCCGGGCTAATGTAGCGTGGTCTATAATCTAGGATCAAACGTGAGTGAAGACGACACACAACTGCATCCCCAACCATGGGGCGGGGTGGTGGTGGAATTATAATATTCACTGAAATTAAGGAAAGAGACACAGCTACCACTTGAACTTAATTGAAAATTAATGACAGAGTAGAAAGGAGAGTAAATCATAAAAAGCTCCTACGTTTTGGCAGAAAAGTATGGAAAGAGCACAAATGTACCACCACCACCAATGCTTGTAAACAAGCAAAAAAACCCCCAGATGATCGTCGAAGCCTGTACGTATGCTGTTCGGGTACAGGTTCCGTGCTCGCCCAGCAGCTGCACCTGCGGAGGCAGGGTCTGGCACATTTTTATAGGTGCAAAGGCTGGGACAGAGACCCAGGTGCGTACGGGCCCGCAGAGCGCCAGGGTCACGCGAAACCGTGGGCAGATCCTGCGCGGGCCCGGAGGAACCAGAGACTGGGCTCGTTGTCCGGGCGACCCGCAGCAGGGCGCCATGAGGAGCGGATGGCGAAAAGAGCAGCGGGGGTTTGAGGAGCGCAGGGCAGCGGGCGGCCTTACGCGGGCCGGGCGCAGGACAGCCGGGCCGGCCGGCGAAGAGCGGAGCCCGCCCTGGCGCCGGGACGCGGCTGAAGGGAGGGCGCGGAGGGAGGCTGCGAGGACGGGCGGCGGTCTCGGGGCCCGGAG